CACAGCTTGAGCATATCTAACGTATCTGGTACACATTACTGAAGTGTGCTGCTGCTGCTACTTCCACTGCTGCAGACTCAGACCCTAAATCTCATCCAATCAGCATCATCCGCACAGGGAGGGGTGGCTCTGTTGCCATAGCCATACTGAAGAGGAGAAAAAAGGAAACTTTTTTTTTTAAGTCAGTAGAATGTCTCAGCCTACAACAAACAGGTTAAACTGAACTCTTATAAGGGTTTTAGCTTATTCTGCTCTTTCAGACTGAAGAAATTCAGCTTAAACATTCCAGAACACTTAAACCACACTTACAAATGTGAATGTCCTATAAGTATTACAGCAACTTTCCTTTCCTCAGGACTTTCTGCACCTTTCTGAGCCATATTTCCTACTTCTTTTTACCAACCAATCAAGTCCATATCCAGTATTTTGTCTTTTTTAGACCTTGCAGAGTTTTAATGACCATCAATATTTTTATTTTGGTTTCTACAAGATACTAACTGAAATACATACACAAAATTAAACACACAAAAACACACACACAAATGGCCTTTTGGGCAAAAGTCAGAATTTTGTATGACCTCCATTGACACTAAGCACACTCTTCAACTCTTTTGAGCAGACTTTCTTGGAAAGCTAAGATACTGAAGTCATTGCATTTTGGAGCAGAAATGAGGTTCTCAAGGTGAATGCCTACCTTGGCTCTAAGGGTCACACAACAAAAAGTAAGGTCAGGAATCGTTGTGTTATTCTGGAGTCAGATATAAGTACTATCATCACAAAAACATTGCAAGAACTAGATCCATTGTTTCCAGTGAGGACTTAGAGAAACTTGTTCATGCTTTTATCAGCAGCAGGGTGGATTACTGTAATAGAAAAAATCAGTCACAGTTGCAGCTCATCAAGAACGCTGCTGTCAGGATTTTGACCAGAACCAAAAAAATCAGAGCACATCACACCTGTCCTCAGGTCAATACAGTGGCTCTCAGTTGCATTCAAAATAGATTTTAAAGTACTGCTATTTGTTTATCAATAAATCACTTAATGGCCTCGGACAGGGATGTCAAACTCAATTCCTGGAGGGCCACAGCCCTGCACATTTTAGTTCCAACCCTGCTCCAACACACTTACCTGTAGGTTTCAAACAAGCCTGAAGGACTCAATTAGTTTGATGAGGTGTGTTTAATTAGGGTTGGAAATAAACTGTGCAGGGATCCCTGTGCTAGGACCTCCATACATTACAGATACTGAATACAAACCTAACAGATCACTCAGATCTTCAGGATATAAATTAGAAATTCCAATGGTTCAGTCAAAGCAGCGTGAATCTATCAGCAACTGCACTCCCCACTACTGGAATAAGCTCCCAGAAATGATCAGATGTGCTCCTATTACTCTGATTAACTTATCGTAAAAAATTAAATAAAACAATCATAATAACTGATGTGTAAATGGCACCTTAGATTTAGGCCTCCTTTATTTATTTCTCTCTGTCTAGGTAAACACATACTGCCAAAGATAATATATTTTCACACATATTTTGAAAATGCACATAAATAACGTATGCGCAACTTTTTATTCGATGAGAAAAGATGCACATAAACTGCAATGGAAACACTTTTACCGAACAAATTCCAGTATGCGCATTTAAAAAAAGGTCATGTGATTTTGTTATATAAGATCATGTGACGACAAAAATGTGTGTGAATGGACAAACCAGTGGCTGAGCACATTGTAAAACATCTGAAATGTTGTTTTGGTCAATCAAAAACGATGTAACCATTTCAGTATTAATAGTAGTAATAGTATTAGTAATAGTGTTATTATATGATTAATTACCTCCAGAATTGTCTAGAGTGTCTGTGCTCCACGTCTGACGCCTTCAAACGCCACCACACAGTCATTGTGTGTCGGCAATCGGCATACTAAATTAAATTAAAAAAAAGATTGACAGCTTCTCCTACCGCAGTAGATTTTGTTTTTACTTTTGATATTTGGCACCAGTTAATCAGGAAGTGACAATTTTTATTTTTTTTGACTACTTGAATGGAAATGCTACTATATTTGCACGTCTCATATGTGATATTCCAGTTATCCACAAACATTTAATTAGCATCTTTGGATGGAAACATAGCTAGTGTCTTATCAGCTGGTTTCTCTCCAAATGCTTTCAATGTTCATACTGAGGCTAAGAGATGATTATATATGGTCATTATATCATGTCTAACAGTGGAATATATGATTCATGACACTGATTCATGTTTTATAATTGATTTATTATATTATAAGTAATAGTGCACTTTATCTAGGCTACTGTGGCTATAAAGATTAATAAAGTGGCTATGAAGAATTTATACAGCTGTAAAGATCAAAAATGTTATTACAATCAACATCAAAAATAAAGATATGTAAAAATGTGATAAATACCCAACCTTATATTAGAAAACTACCTCAAAATAGGAGTGGAAATGGCCTGTATTTTTGATCAAGCAACTGCTCAAGT